CGGCACGGGACCGAGCCCGGTCTAGCCGAACCCAGCCCGACCGCCCGGCCCAGTCGAGCCGGCGGTCCGGCCAGCCAGCGAACCGGCCGGTTCGACCGGCGGTTCGAGTCAGTTTTGATTCGTGATTTCTGATCCGAGTCCAGTTCCGGAAATTTCAGTATTTTTCCGAGCCAGTCTAGTCCAGTTTAATCGCGTAGATAAGTCCGAGCATTTTAGCATATAATTAAATATTCTGAGCATTATACTTAGCATTATTTTGCTTAAATATTTATGTAGCCTAAGGAGAGTCGAGCCTCCGACCGCTACTCCAGCATCCGCACTTGCATATCAGATTTCAAGTTTTCAGGTGGGGGTCATGTACTGGATGTCACATCATAGATAATATATGTACCATGGCAGAGGTATGTTTGAGACAGTTTAGTTCCGAGTTGGGTGGCCAAGGCCTTTATACCCACCTGATGATCGTTTGGGGGGCCAAGGCCTTTATACCCCATCGGAGTGTGCACACGAGCGGCCAAGGCCGAGGGTCTTTTGACCACAGATCAGAACAGAAATCAGAGGTCAGTTTACAGTTTCAGCTCTTATATATTTATGTTTCATGATACGTTATTATAGATGATGTTTTGTTCAGTACTGGTCTTTGCGGAGCATAGTGGTTTGCTCACGCCCCCATTGTGTTTTTCAGGAGACGGAGTCGAGCGTGCCGGATGAGCACAGATGTGGCGCAGCGTGGTCATGAGAGTCGGACATATTTTACCAGCATTTTTATGTCCTAGTTTTATGATCATGTATATTATTTAGTTATGTATGCATGTTTATGTATTCGTATTTCGGATGCTTCTGCCAGCGAGTTTTTCTAGACAGTGCGAGATAGTACAGACTATGCATGTATAATTCCATAATCCGCGAGCGGACAGTTTGGTTGCATGTTTTATTATGTCTGTGAGCAAGCTCAGTTTAAGTTTAAGTTTTTATCTGCCACATCCCGCAATAAGTCAGTATTTTCGAAAACTCAGCTCGCACGTTCTTTCGAAAATAAAAAAAAAAATTTTACTCTGACTTTTCAAAGCTAGTAAGGCGGGGTGCGACAATTTGTTCTTAGTTTCTCCTTCATTCTGAGGAAAATTCCAAGTGACCCTGGTGCGACCATCGTCTTGTTTGTCCCTTTCTTTACTTTTAGAGTGTTCCCGATTGCATCTTGACTTGGCAAGATGTTTTCATTACCTACATCCACGTTTTGCTGCGGCATAGCTTGTGAAGATATCTCTCTATTTTTGCAAATTTGAGAGCGTGTCATCACTAAACTAGCCATTGAAGCGTTATGGACTTGTGCTCTCTGTGTACTCCTTTGAGAATTTCTTATTCCACTAGCCATAACCTAAAACATATATACAGTGATTACACATAGTTAAATTAACCAATGAAAAAATTAAATAATGTTTGTTTACATAACCTGTTTTGAACAAGGTCTCAAGATTGTTTGCGCCATCTCAGTGACATCCTCTTCCCTTGAATGTTCTGCTTCTTTTTCTTCGTTGGGTATGTACACATCATTTGTCGTAGTATGTTGCTTAGGCTTCACGATTTCCTGGATCTTTTTCTTTTTGTGCTTCATTATATCCACTGCTTCATAAGCAAGTGGCCTGAGATTCAGTTCTTCCATTTTTCTCTTATTATCCATTATCCTCTTCAACCTTTGTTCTTCATAGTCAGCCATCTTGATTTAAACCTTGTAAAATAGATACATAACTACTAAATCAACATATCATATCACCGAATGCATTTCATACAAGTTTTACCAAAAATACCGTTACAATTACTTGAATATTATCATTCATAGCTGCAAGTAATTACATTCCTCTAAGCCTTTCATTCTGAATGCATAAGAAATTTTTCAATATTTGATTTCATAAGTTTTGTAAATAATAGGTTTTGTAAATAAACTGGACCTTGTCTAACATTTTAAACTAAAACGGACATCACATAGACAATATATCAAACACTTCATAATCACAAAAAGAGAAAGTTTAAAAATGTCATTGTTGTTGTTCAATCACAACCACAATAATAATTGAGTTAAGACAGCCTCAGTAGCAATACAAGGAGATGAACCACATATCTCCAAGAATTTTTGTTTACAAAAATGAATTATTAAAATTTACAAAAACAAAAGGCACTGAAAGTACCTTAAACAGACACTGGTGCTCGCTTCCGCTGAATCCTACAAGAATATTTCTAGGTCATGACAGGAATTATGGGGGAATCAAGAATCAAAATAAATCTAGGTCATGTTGATAAAAAAAGAAGTTAACATGTCATAGTAAGAATTATGTTGAGAATTTTTGGTGTTTGAGGGGGGCGCAGGAATCAGATATGGGGCATATATTTGACAAAAAAGAAGTTAAAGGGAATTATGGTGGAATAGGTTTTCGACGGCAGAAAGTGAAAAGCGGGAAACTTGGGAGGGAAAGTATATTGGACCTTTTGGGTGAAAATAATATCTAACAATTATAAGTGGATATTTTTTTTTATTATAAAACTCGAATATGTTATGGTAATGTAAGATTATTGAGTAGGATAATATTTTATTATTGAACTCCAAAATTTTGAGGGAGGTGTGTGAAATTGTAAAAATAATTCATAAAAGTCGTTCCATTTTTCTATTTATTTTGCTTTATTCCGTTATTTGGCGATTCTTAGCACCTTAGTTGCAATATTTTTATTTTTCTTTTTTTAAAACTTTCGTGTAAATGGATCGAGTCAGGTGCGGGTTTTGTCATAGTCGAACCCGACCCACATGTAATTTACCTTAATCAAATCCGACCCGTAACTCGGCTAGTGATTTTTAGGTTCAGGCTGACTTTTGACAATAAAATAACTATAAAAAATTATATATTACTTTTAGACGATGTCTGATTGGCCTAGTAGGTTGCGAATTAAGTCCCATCGAAGGTTAGCTAAATGGCAAAGGCGGTAGAGCTATAAAGAAATCAAACGTCTTCAATTTGATTTGTGGTTCGAATTCATTCATATTCGTAAAAATTCAAATTCAAAGTTGAATATGAATAGTGTTTAGTATTCGAAATTTATTTTGAATCGGAATTCGAATATGCACATATTTGATTTGAAATTATAGATTATTCGATTCGTTAACTAATTATATATAGTATAATATATTATATATAATATTAAATTTTATTTATATAATATATATAAACATATTAAATATAATAAAACACAAAAAATATATTTATATTTAAAAAAGCATATTTAATTTATTTAAAGAATATATATATATATTGGAATATATATATATATATTATATACAAATAATATATTTTTAAATAATATCTAATATATTAATAATTATAAGTAATTTCGAAAAATGAATTTCGAATCGAACCGAATATATTTGAATCAAATCGGAATCACATTAAATTTGATAATGAATAGAATACGAATACAAATAGTTGAATATTTTCACGACGAATCAAATAGTTGAGCATTGGCTTCGAATATTTTCTATTTCCTAAAGAGTGTTGCTATCTTGATGTTTCTTGATTTTTGTATATTTTCTATTTCCTTAAGTATGTTGCTATCAATAACTAGATAAATTTGCACAAAGTAAAATCATAATGCTCACAAAATCAAGGCACCTTAAAGAAAACAAGCATCAACAGATGCAGTGAATGCCCACGAGTTTAATCTTGAAAATGGAATAAGAACCTATCAACAAAAGACCATTTCTCATCATTAAAATTATCCCATAATACTTCACCTCATCAAAGATTCATCATAACTAAAAAAAACCAAGAACCCAATATAGATACTAAACAACTCACGCTACAATTGGTTCTTAAAATGTCCCGGCTCATCTAACCTTTCAAGTCCCCATTTTTTCATGCTCAAATCCTGCCAAGCAATCAGAACAATCATCCCTCAAGAAAGACTCTGAATTTATGCTCGAGTCCCTCATATTATTCATATTATAGTTCTCACCAGCCATCATAAGTTCAACAAAGCAATTGACACTCGCCAGAAAAACACACAAAAAAATCTGAAGCTGCATCCCAGAAAAAAGTTGATATCAGCAAGCAATGAGTGATCTGCAATGTGGCCAAACACAAAAACAGACAATCAATAACCTGAAAATAAACCAACAAATTTTACACAAAAATAAGAAAGCATAATCACAAAAATCAATATTCACCTTAATGCCCCACCAATAAGCAAAGAAATCCACAAAAACTAATATTCACAAAAACTAATATTCACCTCAATGCTTTACATATATTTCTCAGTTTATGATTACAACAAAAAACACTTGCCATTAACAAAATTATCCACTAAGGACCAGCAAATAAATTAAAAAACATAACTGAAAAAAGGCATAACCTTAAATATCTGTTTGTTCCGAGATTGTATCATCCAAATCCAATTCAACAACAGTATGAGGTATATCTTCTCTACACCAGCTGAGATCATCATTATCATTAGTTGTTGTCTCCATCCTATCCTTAGGTGACTCGTATGGCTCTACAAAGTATGTTTCCTCTGTTTGCACAAAATCAAAGAAGTCTTTTGGCAAAGTTTTAATTGCATAATGCCAACCTTTTTCAATGGGATCTTCTACGTAAAATACTTGATGGACCTGTGATGCCAACACAAATGGATCTTCAACATAGCAACGCTTCTCGAAATTAACACGAGTGAGACCATAGTCATCCGTTTCGACACAGAACCAGTCACATCTGAATAAGACGACACTAAAACAACTCCAATAGTCAACTTCAATGATCTCTTGTATTGCTCCATAATAAGAAACTTCATCGACTATTGGATTACGATCTTTAGTGCTGGCAAAACTGGAAGTTAGAGCAATCAAAGATACCCCGCTATTTTGAGTTTTACATTTTGCATCTCGTTCTTTAGTATAAAATTTATAGCCATTGACGCAGTAACCAACGTATTTTCGCGCTACATCACAAGGGCCCAAGGACAACCATCGAATGTGAGTAGGAGCGTGCTCATCAAGCCCAACTTTCTCTTTAAGCCAAACCATAAATTCTTGGCTATGCTGTTGAGCTTCTCTCCATCTCTTCCTTTGTTTATCTCTGGCCCTCGTTTTCAGCATACTTTCATGCTCCCTACATTGATATAATGAAGATAACAATTATTTAAATATTACATACTTAAAATATATTGTCATTAGAAAAAAAATTATACATAAAAAAACACTCACTGTTGATATTTTTGAACTTGTGTGTCTTCACAATTAAATAAAATGTATCGATGTGCTCTATTCTTTGACTAGGAATCTAGACGATATACTTTCCCTTCCTTTGCTTCTTTCTACGCCCAAGTGGATAACCATTTTGACAAAATATAGGAGATTTTTCAACATTCGAAACAACTTTCCTGTTGCTTGAACTAATGCTTCTCGATTGTTTTTTTTCTCCATCATTTAAGTACCGCGAGCAGAACACCAGACACTCCTCCGCTAAATATCCTTCAGCAATAGAACCCTCTGGACGACTGCGATTTCGAACGTATGACTTCAGCTTGCCAAGATACCTCTCAATGAAGAACATCCACCAACTACTTACCGGACCACTTGACCGAACTTCGTCCACTAAATGGATAGGCAAATGTGGCAGGATATCAAAAAATGAAGGTGGAAATATCCTTTCAAATGTACAAAGGATTTCAACTATTTCACTCTGCCAATGATCCAAATCTTGTGGATTGATAACTTTACTGCAAATAGCTCTGAAAAATGCACCTAATCTTATCAAAGCAAGAGCTACATCCTTGGGTAAAGTTTTCCTGACTGCAACTTGAAGTAAATATTGCATTATAATATGTGCATCATGGCTTTTGTAGCCTGATATTTTCAATTCTTTCATTTGCACACATCGTCCAATATTAGATGCACAACCTTGTGGTAGCTTTGCTTTCTCTAAAACTTCACAAAACACTGTTTTCTCCTTTTTAGTCATTGAGAAACAAGCCTTAGGCAAAAAGCGACGTTTGTTGTTATCAGACTCCACATGATGTAATGATGATCGTATTCCCATTTCTTTCATGTCTAAACGAGCCCTATAATGGTCCTTTGTTTTTCCAGGCATATCCAACAAAGTTCCAATCACACTATCAGTTATATTTTTCTCTATGTGCATAGGGTCCAAATGATGGCGAGATGAAAGATATTCCCAATATGGCAGAGTGAAAAAGCATGATTTTTTTCTCCATGGGCATTCATCGATTTTCTTTTTCGGCTGCATCTTTCCGAATTTATTTTTGAAATCTTTTAACAAATATTAGACCTCGGTTCCTGTTAAAGGTTTTGGAGCCTCTCTTTTTCCCATTTCTCCATTGAAAGATTTCTTATCTTTGCGCCAAGGATGATTTGCTTCTAAAAATCTACGATGACCCATATAGCATGATTTTCTGCTATTGTTCAAATACAAGTGCTCTGTTTCATAATGACATAATGGGCATGCATACTTCCCTTTCGTGCTCCATCCAGACAACATGGCATAGCCAGGAAAGTCACTAGTTATTGATTGTAGAGCAACATGCATCTGAAATATTTGATGTTTTGACACATCATATGTCTCTGCACCACACTCCCATAAATCTTTTAACTCATCCATCAAAGGTTGAAGGTAAATATCAATGTCATTTCCCGGGGATAATGGCCCTTGGATTATTAAAGACATTAGTAAATACTCTGACTTCATAAGTAACCATGGCGGTAAATTGTAGTTAACTAACACAACAGGCCATGTACTGTGCGTAGTGCTCATGGTTCGGAACGGATTAAATCCATCACATGCAAGTCCTAGTCGCACATTACGAGGTTCTTTAGCAAAATTTGGATACAAAGAATCAAAATTCTTCCAAGTCTTTCCATCTGCAGGATGCCTTAAATTCCCATCTTTTTTCCTTTTCTCATCATGCCATCTCATATAATTAGATGTCTCAGAACACATATACATCCTTTGAAGTCGAGGTCTTAAAGGAAAGTGCCAAAGTACTTTTGCTGGAATATGACGAGTATCATTGGACGGATGATTATCATCACTTCTAAGTTCATTATCAGTTGTTTTCCACCTTGAAGTATGACAAATATGGCAGGTGGTGGAATCTTTACTTTCCTTCCAAAAGAGCATTCAATCATTACGACAAGCATCAATCTTTCGATACTGAAGGCCTAAGTCGTTCACTAACTTCTTTGCTTCATTAAAAGATTTTGGCAGCTTGGCTTCAGGAATAAGTTCTTGTATAATTTCCAGAAGTTCATAAAATGCCATGTTAGTTAACCCATGGACACACTTGAAAAGGTACAATATGATAATAAACGATAATTTTGAAAATGCTTTGCACCCAGGATACACCTCTTACTTTCCATCCTCAACCAATTTAAAATACTTTTTGGCCTCCACATTAACATTCTCTGATTGGGGGCAGCTTGAAAACTCGTCTGCTATATTTTTGTGAGTATTGTACAGCAGACCTTCTATATCATCATGCAGTTCCCAATTCTCATTAAAACGCCATTCTTTAATAACTGAACCAATACCATAGGCAATCAAGTGATCATACACTTCATCTCTATGGTGCCAAAAGCGATGATAACACTTCTTACATGGGCAAGTGATTTGATCTCCCTGAGCTCGAGTAGAAAATGAAAATTCTAGATAATCCTCCACTCCAGTAATGTACTCACTGCTAGATCGTGCGAAATTGAACCATTGATTTGCTTGATTATCCATTAAAATCTGAATAAAAAATACACCACATAGCATGAGATTATATTATGCAAGTAAAAGGTAGATGATATCAAAGAAATTTCTAAATTTACAGTCAAACAAAATAACTGGACTACTTAGTTATAAATTGAATAATAAATATAAGAAATATAAGTTGTTTCAAAATAAGATATATTTTATCACAAAAATAAGAAATGGATGAGAATAAAGCAGTGTATTAGAAGTCCCCAGGTGCCTGCTAAGCACTCGACGAGCATCTAGAACGCCTAGGTGGGGCCTAAAAATAGATTAAATATCTTATTTTCTTTATGGAATTTCATCAAACATATTGAATACATGTTTATGTTATATCCATCACACACCATGATAACAGTATAGAGCCAAACATCATACCCCTGAATGCGGATGGGGACGGTGGTTCAGCGATGAGAATGAAGACCTGTCAAGTGCCGAGCGACAACGAGAATAAATTTATGTCTTTTTGCACACTGCAAACTCAAATATGAGGTAGCCTCTGAAGTTAAACTTTGCTCTGTCTCTCTTGACTCTGAACTGATGATAAACCTCTAGCTTTTTTACAATGTTTTAATTTAAATAGGAAATTAAAAAAAAAATGAAACTGGGAAGGACGGCCGCTCATGAAACCAAAAGGCTGAGTGCATTTTGTTTGTGTTGGTTCTTTCTCTTTGACCGAATGGCTGCTCCGGAGTTGGAGAACAATTTAAGAAATGTTTCAAAGCCTAATTAACCCATTTAAAGAAATATTTCATTTTTCTTATACCTATTCTTTTTTGTGTTAAATAACAAATCTACTAGATAAAATATTACTGTTGATGAGTTACAAATCATAATTTCTAAAATAACTTATAACTTAATCTCGAACTTTGCCAATTTTTAGCTTATGATATCTAACTAATAAGATATCAGAACTTTTGTCTTATAAAGATTGACTATTTTCTGAAACTTTATTTCTACAGTTCAGTTTCAAGCCTACAGGATCTTATCCTGCTTTTGGTTCTTATTTCAAATCCCCATGATTTACTTGTACATTTTGGCTATTATATTACATAATCAACCTTTATAGTCAGATCTTAACTCAAATCTTAATCTGATGGCTTAACTTAGAATGTTCGAATCTCTTTCTTGATCTAGTTAACTTGATAAACTAGATTTCAAACTTTAATACTAATCTGAACATGTAGACTGATTTCTAGAGTTCGGATATCTGAATTCTTATTGAGCATAGACTTAGTAAATTTGAATATATTTAAAAACTTTTATAAAAACTTTTAACAACACTTACCTGGTAGCGGCGAGGTGTGAGTGTGGTGTGGTTGGTTTTCCTGAAACTGTTTTCTGAAACTTAAACTTTTAGTATACAGAGCACTTACTCTAGCTCTGATACCACCTGTAACACCCCGCTCATCAGAGTAAATTTTTCGCAACTTTTACTTCGAAAATACTTATAACTCTTTCGAAATATTTTGCTACTAACTCGAGATGCTACTCAAACTCATCTTCTTGAAAATCCGTTTATCTTTAAACTTTCTGTCTAATACTTCTCTAGACATAAAGAAAACAGATTTCCTTTAAACTTGCATTTAACTGTACCATATTCATACTTCTCGAAATGGTATAAACTTGAAATCTGAAATTTATTAAAAATGCAAGTTCAATACTTAATGTGCATAGCGAAACACTTAAAAACGTGGTTTATTATACAGACATATCAAATACTTAATAAATGTCCACTTGAAATAAGTGCACGACCACCACCACCACATCTCGAGCTCACACCTCCGGCCCGACCCTGTTACCTGAAAAACACAATGGGGGTGAGTACTGATCCTCTTGTACCCCGAAAAACACCCATACTAAAGTAAACAACAACAATAATACAATATCATGATCTTTGGTATATATCTGGACTGGAAATTTGTTCCAGTAACTTAAACTGAATCTGGCCGATATCTGATCGGATACTTGTGCACAATCTGATGGATATTTCTCAAGGCAACTCAAACGGCCTCCATCAGAACTTAGGATATACTATGAGACAACTGAATGTCTCCTCATCCCAAGCGTATAAACTTAAACTGTATACATACCTCAAACATGATATCAATATTATACTCAATGTAATACCCAGTCTGGGTCCCCACCTTTCTTATTTTGAAAACTTTTGAAAAATGTAAGTGTTGCTCTTGGGTAGCTATATCTGCAAGCTACATAAAAATATAAACAAATATACTAAGTACTATGCTCGTATACTCAATAAGATTTAACTCTTACTTATCCTAATCTTAAAGATATTCCATAAGCTTAATATGTCTCAAATAAATATTAAGTCATCAAACATCTTAACTTTTTCTTAAACTTTTACTCAAGGTTAATTACTTAACCTTATATAAATCATATCTTCAAAATCATAGATATTGGTTTATACTCGCATGTTAGTTAAATAACTCAAATGTGAAAATAACTAAATTTTACATTAAACTTGGTTGAGTACTTAAACTCAAAACATGCTTAACTTTTTCCAACATTATCAACATGATTTATAAACTCATCTTGATCTTTTACTCAATCAAATACTTAATTCATCATACATCATATCTCCCAAATTTTAAATATTAGCTTATATTAAATTTTCACTTAATTAACTTGAAAGTGAAAATAAACTCAAGTCATACTTCAACTTTTTAATCATAACATTTAATCATGATATTAATATGTCATACTTAATACAATCTTTATGAGATTATATACGCAACATATTAAACTAAAACTTTGCCAAATTGCTCATCACTTATATGAGAATTGATCATAATAATCTCACTTTAATAATTTGATCATATCATGAATATTCTTGCATATATACTCATCTTTACATATATTCCGTCTAAATATCTTAACTCATTCATTTCTCATCTTCAAATCATGAAATTTAACAGTCATATTCTTAACTCATATTTAGACATGTCATAAAAATTTCATAATTTTATGATGCATATATCTCGACTTATTCAAGTTTAAAGTTGCTGCTGGAAACAAGTACATAAAATTCAGCTTGCATGATAAACTTTAAAAATTCATATCTTGAGTTATACTAAACTAAATGACTTGATTCTTTACTTCAAATTCTTCAATTCTCCAATTTTTCTACTACTTATTCTCTCTTACACTCTTATATAACTTTTGGTACTTTTCTTTGGTGTGAGAACTCTGATTTTTAGGCCTCTATTTATAGGCACAAATTGGCAAAACTTCATAATGGAGTGAAGAAATGAACAAAATAAACAATTTAAACTTATAAACTTAATTAATTATAAACTATTTTATGATTAACTTGTATTCTTATCCAAACATAATTAATCATCAAAAATGGCCTCTAGTTATAGCCATGAATGAGCTTTTTGGTAGATAAAACTTATTCCACTAAGTTTAATAAAATTCTCACCAATTGTTGAAAAAAAATGCTAACTTAAAGACTTAGCAAAACTTTGCTG